CCCTGTAGCTGATACTCACCCTGTGTACGTAGTTCATCTCGGAGAGGTACTTCATGCCGGACGCGATGCCACGCAGCATGCCGACCCTCCCCTCCTCCTCCCTCCCCTCCCCTGCCCCTCCCTCCCTGTAGCTGATACTCACCCTGTGTACGTAGTTCATCTCGGAGAGGTACTTCATGCCGGACGCGATGCCACGCAGCATGCCGACGAGCTGGATGCACTGGAACTTGCCGTCGTTCGTGCGCAGGAACGTGTCCAGCGATCCGTTCTCCATGTATTCAGTGATGATCATCACTGGGTTACCTGCAAGGTAGGGTCACGTGGTCATGTAAGGTCATAGGTCAGGTGATGCCAAGGTCATCCAAGATCATGCGTCATGCATCATGAGGTCATAGGCCAGGTGATGTCAAGGTCATCCAAGATCATGCGTCATGAGGTCATAGGTCATGTGATGTCAAGGTCACCCACGATCATGGGTCATGCATCGTAGGAGGTCATAGGTCAGGTGATGTCAATGTCACCCTAGATCATGGGTCATGCATCATATTAGGTCATAGGTCAGGTGATAGGTCAAGGTCGTCAAGGGTCACAGGAGGTCATATGTCAGATGTCATTGTCACACAACATTACAGGTCACATGAATTCATCTGTCAAATGTCATGGTCACACAACATCACGGGTCACATGACAATCATAGGTCAGATGATCTCACAGTCACAAAAGGTCATGGGTCACACGAGGTCATTGGTCAGATATCATGGCCACATGAGATCATAGGTGAGATATGATCTCACAACCACAAAAGGTCATAAGTCACAGTCACAGGCTCACCAACACTCCTAGGAGATGGGCACAGGCTGTGACCTATGACTTTATAGGTCACAAAAGTCCCGGTGACTTACTTTTCGTGACGACGCCTTGCAGGTAGATCACGTTCGCATCGTCAAACTGTCCCATGATGCTCGCCTCGGTGAGAAAGTCGAGGCGCGCCTTCTCGGACGCGCCGGGCTTCAGGGTCTTGATCGCACACGTGATCTCTCCCTTCGCGGGGTGTCGCAGCCTTCCCTTGCACACATCTCCAAACTCGCCTGCGAGAAATGCAAAAAACACACACGGCAAACGTTAGTTATCTCAGGATAAGTTCGTCGGATTGTAATGAACCATACAAAAAAATAAATA